ATCAAAGAAGACCTTCAGGAAGCAAGGCCTCGGCGACTGGAACCTGGGAGTGAGGCACCATGAAGATTTGCTCCATTACTGTTTGCCCTGTTAGTTTCTGACAATTGGCCTCAGTTTTCTTCACCACCAAATTTAGCTAGTTGGGAAGATACTTTGAGAATAGACATAAAAAAAGAGTTCCTTAACTTCACAAGTTGGAGCTAGGGAGACAAATCATGATCCACAGATTTGGCTCTATCTGTGGAAGGATATCACATTTGGAACTATCATCATTTATACATTATACATTCAATTAATATTGTTTGGGGGTTTCAAAGTTTCCTAGTGCCATGAACTAGACTACTAGGAGTGTGAAAGGTGTCAGTAGAAAAAACCAACTTTACCCTTTTGGGGATGACTAATTTTAGTGAGAACAGAAAGACAATAGTCAAAAACACAATAAAAGATTGTATCATATGCATAGTACATTGTATGTATGGTATATTGCATGTATGTGAAAAGTGCTCCTGAGGAAAAGAAAATAGAACCATGTAAAGGTGATTGGTGTGAAAGGATGGCAGACTGTAATTTTAAATGGGAAGATTGGGGTATAATGCATCATTTAGAAGGTGACATACAAGCGAAGACCTGGAGGAGGTGAGGGTGCTAGTCAAGAAGAGACCCTGGGGAAGTGTCCCAGCCAGGACAAAGGGCCCTAGGAGGTGTGTGTGTGTGTGTGTGTGTGTGTGTGTATGTTTGTGCTGAGCTAAATGGTGGGAATATCAAAATGAATAAAACAGGGTCCTTGTCCCTGAAGGGCTCCTGATTCTCCCGTTTAAAAACCCCTTGATGGCTCCCATTACCCTCAGGACAAAGTCCAAACTCTTTCTCATGGTGTACAAGGCCCTCATCAATACAGCCTCTAACTGATTCTGTAGCTTACTGGACCTCTTCTTCTTTCTCCCCACTCTGTCCCCGCACACTGGGCTTCCCCCACACCTGGTCCATGTTGTTTGAAGGAACACACACCTTTCACACACCTCCATGTCCCACTTCCTATCTTCAATGCCAGCTAAATCTCACTAAACATACTCCTTCCAGAAAGCATTCCTGATCCCAAACCTGGCCCCATGTGTTCTGTGGCACCTGGGGCACCTGGGGCTTACCCTTGCATCATTCTCATGATAGCGGATTGACGCTGTTTATTGTCCCTATACTAAATTGGAAGAGCTTTGGGCATGTGAACTATATTCTATTGAGCTTATACACTTCACGTTTAGGACAGAGCCTGGTAGATAGTAGACAGTTCATGCAAATATGAGCTTCGGGCTTCTGTTTTAGGTGATTGAAAGATTGTAGATTAACTATAGACTTCTCTTCGTCCTTCAGGAGAGAAAAGAAACAAGAGAAGTCAAGAGGTCCTGCCAGCAGGGAGTGCTGTTGGGTCAGTCATAGTCACAGAATCTTAGGGAGAGAAAAATGGCAGTGTCACAGAGGCTTAGAACCTCAGAATCTGGGTGCTGGGAGGGAAGAGAAACCATTTGGCTTCTTACAATCATGGACTCACTAGGCTGCTGAGGGGAGGTCATATCTGCTGGAACCAGTCCAGGGAAGACCATTTTCCTGGGAAGCCAAGCATGACCATCATAAATTGAGAAGAAACTGAAGTAGCCAGACCAGGTAACCCGGAGAAAGTTTGTCTTTGGGTCCTCTCTTCTTGTCATTTCTCACTTGTTGAAGCTCATATAATGTCATACATTGTGCTAAATGCCGAGAACGGTGGCAGGGAGGAGGTGAGGATGTCTGTGTTCAAGAAGCCAACAGACTAGAGAAGTTAGACAATTAGGGAAATCACAATTGTGTAAGAATGTAATGAGAAGCGCAGGGACCTCCAGGAGGTTACATCGGGGGCACCGACCCTACGGGCTAGGGAAGTTTTCCTACAGGGAGCAATGTTGAAGTTGAGATTCACATGTAGTGAGGGGGTGGGGGTCTGGGGACGGCTCTTCTAGGCCACAGAAAGAGTACATGCAAAGGTCCAGACAGAGGTGAACAGAATTTAGCAAGGATCTGCTCTGAGCCAGTCTGATGAGCATAGAGGGGGCAGTGGCTGGAGATGAGGCTGGGCTGGTGGGTCAAAGAGAAGCCAACCTTGCCATTCTCCAGGCAGCAAGACAACGAAGGTAGTAGCACGAGTTCAGGAGGCAGGGACCTGAGGCAATTGTCATTTCCCTCGCAGTGCCCCAGCGCAGAAGACTGATTCCCCACCTCCTCCCCATCCGTGACACGGCAACCTTCCCCCTTTCAGGACCTGTTCCCCGGGGCTGTCCATAGGGGATGTGCTCAGAGGGGATGTCTGTGGGAGCTCCTAGGTGAGCCCTTGGACTAGAGCTCTGGGTGCCCTCTGGTGACCCAGATGAGAATTGTTTCTGTATCATAGCCCAGGCTGGACTTGGAAGGATGGAGCCTGAGGAGCTGGCCTTCCAGACAGACAGGAGGCTCCAAACTGTCAATTTAGGAACACTGGCCTTCAGGAGGAGAAAGGTAAACCATAGACACAGAAGACAAGAGAAAGAGAGAGAGAGTGAAAAGCAATGATATAGAGAGACAGAGAGGCAGAGAGAAGTCATAAAGGGGCAAAAACTGTCACAGACAGAGAAAAGCAACAGAAAATGAGAAAGGCACTCCCTCCTCCCTTTCTACCTCTCAGAGCCTGGGTTTAGGTTTGGCCCCAAACAACAGGGCGACATGAGGGTACCAGGTTCCCTGCACTGGTGCACACGCCACCACCGCTGCAAGTGCCCAAGCACACACAGGTTTTCCACCAAACAGCTTCTAAGGCTGCAAAGGAGGCAGAGAGCAAAACTCCTATGGCCCTTTACTCCCCTCTTTTTCCCCATTTTTATGCTGATGTCTCTGTTCTGTGTTCATTTTCTGTATGTCTCCCTTGCTCTGCCTCTCTCCTTCCTTTTCCCTCCCAAGCAAGTCAGGGCATCAGCAGGGCAGATCTCTGCCACCTCAACTTTTTTTGGCATCTCTTGACCTGGAAGGAGAGACTGCATGACTTGTCCCCACTCCCACCCCTTAAGAGTCCTGGTCCAGCATCATTGTCTTAAAACTAAGTAGAAAGTTTGTAGCCAAGGAGGTCGTCTGACAGGTATCCTTCAGGAACCACCTGATTTGAGAATCCTGCACATCTTCAGTGAACAGAAGCAGGCTTCTATGGCAGGGAGGGGATGATACAGCTTTCTGTCCCACTCTGGTAACCCTCAGGAAGTCTTTGGTGTGAGGGGGATTTTTAGGGAGACGGAGTCACCCCATCCTCAGAACACAGATGAAAGATACGGCTTTCTAAGCATCAGGTGGAGTGTTTGGAGCAGGGCTGGGAGGGAGTGGCAGGATAGCAGGGCAGGAATGAAATGGAGAACACTATGGGCAGGAAGTACTGAGGCCAGTGCAGAAACAAGCACCTTGTGAGCTGGTCACGCGTGCTCTGGTGTTAGAGTATAATGAACAAGTCCACAGAAGTCTCTGCTTGACCCAGCCGCATGGCCATTGTCAGAAACCTCAAGTCCTTCCTTCCTCATGCCTGTGTTTCTGCAAGGTCAGGCACAAGCACACACACAGGTGCATGCAGAGGCACATGCACCAGGTATAGAAGGGGGTGTGCCGAGCAGAAAGCTTACAGCAGTAATTGGCTCAGTTGAAAAAACCAGCTTGGGTCAGAGGCTCCTCTGTGGGTGCTGGAGGTTAGAGGGTGGTGGCAGCTTTGCCTCAACAGTTGTCTGCTGTCGGTTGTTACCTGTCTTCCTCCACCTTGGTAACAGAGCTCTAATGGGCCTGGCACCTCCCAGTGTGGCTGTGTGGCCTGTGGGATGTACCCAGCTGGGGGTACATGCTCATTTCCCCTCCTTCTATGTCTGCCCCAAGGCTAGATGACTCCCCAAGTCCCTCTGCCTGCTGACTCCTGGCCACTTCCAGAATCTCTGTCCCGCTCTGAGGCCTTGACAGCAGCTTTTATCCACTTGCCATTGGGGAAACAGGGCAGAAACCATGGAGGGCAGTGGCGGGGGCAGGGGAGCTGCCCCAGGGCCACATATTAGGGCTGAGGCTTAGGGAGCTGGCCCAGAGCACTTGGATTTCCTGAGTGAGAGGAAGGTGGGTTGCAAAGACAGGGTTGTCTTGGATTTTCCCACTCCTAGAAGAATCAGGAAATTACACAGGTCCTGAATGTTGGCGTTTGAGGACTCCTATAAAGTCTTGTTCAGCCTCCTCACCACTGGCACTGACCCTATACAGACCAAGCGATAAAGCCCAGAGGTGAAGTGAGCTGCTGCTGCCCCAGGACCCAGGGGTTTTGGAAGGCCTGTTGCTGAAGGCCCCCCAGCAGCTGACTTCCCACAAGCTCAGGGATGGGGAACAAGGGGGTGTCTTTGGGAAGGGCCTGATGGGTGGTCACACGAGGTGTGAGACTCCTGATGCCCCTGGGTCTCTGGGTGCTGCATTTGACACCAGACCAAGCATAGGCTCTGAGTTGGGATGGAACCTGGCTTGGATCCCCTTATAGCACCTGGCATAGACCTCTGAGCCCCTGTTGTCCTCCTATGGAAAATGGGCAAAAACACTGACCTCTTAGGCTGGCTGTGGTCATTCATGAGACAATGTTTGTGAAGTGCCTGACACTAGAATCAAACTCAGGCTACTAAGCATCACACTGTTCCTAATTAGCTAAAAGACCTTAGGCAATTTTCTTACATGTTCTGGTCTTTCTGTTTCCATCTGGAAAATGGTCACCTGATGAGGAACCGGTGCACTGACACATGGAAAGGCATGGACCTGAGGGACTGGCTTGTGCCCTCTGAGGCGTCCAACCCTGCCCTCTCAGCCCGGTCTCAGTTTTTGCTCTGATGATGGATGCACTTAGGGGTAAGAGAAGGGAGAATGAAAGCAGGCAGCCAGCTTTCCTTTTGAGAATGTTCTTTTTTTTTTTTTTTTTCCTAGGATCTTCAAAACTCCAGAAGATGTGTGACCAGCCAAAATCCCCGTGCTCCCCGCCAAAATCTCCTTGCTGCCCGCCAAAATCTCCTTGCTGCCCGCAGAAACCCCCATGCTGCCCGCAGAAGCCCCCATGCTCCCCACAGAAGCCTCCACGCTCCCCGCAGAAGCCCCCGTGCTGCATTCAGGCCAAGTGCTGCTGTCTGGAGCCCAAGCCTGAATGCACTTGCCTTAGTAAGAAGTCTGAGCCCACATCACCCCAAACTCAGAACAAGAGCTCCCAAGCCCAACAGCAGCCCCTAAGTCCAAAACAGGGGCCCAAACTAGGTAACTTGGGGCAAAAGAAGCCAAACAAGTAGAGGAGCCATGCCCATCACTCAGTGGGGTCAGGCTACACCTACATTTATAAAAGCTGTCTCTCAGTGACAACCACATAGTACAAGCAGAAGCCCCATTTACCTTCACAGCCCCCCAGTGTAGGGAGGCCCCTAACTGGAAATGGAAGGCTGAAGAGACTGGAATCATCTTTCCTAGTGATCCTGACATTAGAAAACACAAAAATAAAAGAGCATTAAAAAGAATGTTGCCTCCCTTTCTCCTTAATCTGTGAAACCATCTCACCCATCTGGCCTTAGTCCAAGAAAATGTTCTGGGCATGTCATGAAAACAAGAGCCAGAAAACCAGAGCCTGGAAGCACAGGCCTCTGTGGAACCCGAGTTAGGGTGACTGACTCATCCTGGTTTTCAAATGAAAATCTTGCAATCCAGGGACCCTTCCAGTCCCAGGCACAGTGGGGCAGTCGGCCACCCTTGATGCAAGAATACCAGTACCCCTGGGTCCCTGAGTACCGTGTTGGAGGCCAGAGCAAGCAAGAGCATGTGCCGGGGAGTGATTCCCCTCCCCTATCCCAGAGATTTTAGGAAGAGGTAAGGCTGCCAGGCAAACTCCATGGTGACACAGGAAGTTCAGTCTTGGGGCATCAGTGCTGGCTCTCTGGACCTAGAGCACATGGTTCAACCTCTCAGGCTCCATTTCCTTATCTGTAAAATGAGAGTAATGCTACTACCTCATAGAGATTTTATGAGAATTAAATGGGATAATTCCTTTAAAGTGCTTAACATAGGGTTGGATACATCGTGAATACACAATACATGGTTCTCCTCAAACTTCTCTCTTTGCCACCAGGTCCTGACTTCCCTGCGAAAAACATACCATGTTCCAGCAATTTGTCCCCAGAACACACCTCCATTAATCTAGGTGGGCAGGTAGAAATAGAGAAGCCAGCCTTATTCACAGTACTTGTAAACTTCAATGTTAACCACATTTTTGGTATATAATTGACATATCCACCACCTCTAAACTTTTTCTAATGCTCCTTTGTGTTTCCTCCCTCATGACTGTGCCTGCCCACCAATCCCCAGAAAGCAACTGATCTGCACTTGGTCCCCATAAATCAGTTTGCTCTTCCAAGAATTTCCTATAAATGGAATCATCTAGTATGTACTCTTTTATGTTTGGCTTCTCTCACTCAGCAAAACTACTTTGAAATTCAAACAAGTTGTTGCATGTATCAATTATTCATTCTTTTTTATTGCTGAGTTGTGAATGCCCTCATTTTATGGATACACCACACGTTTTTAATCCATTAATCTATTGATGGGCATTTGGATTGTTTCCAGGTTTGGCTATTACAAATAAAGCTGCTATGAACATTCATGACAAGCCTTTGGATGGACATATGCTTTCATGTCTCTTGGGTAAAGCTGTAGGAGTAAAATGACTATGTCATTAGTAGGTGTATGTTTTACTTTTTAAGAAAACACCCAAGGTCCTGGGATTGAGCCTCTCCTTTTGCTCCCTGCTCAGCAGGGAGTCTGCTTCTCCCTCTCCCTCTGCCCCTCCCCTCCGCTCGAGCTTTTTCTCTTTCTCAAATAAATAAATACAATCTTAAAAAAAAAAAAAAACCCAACTATTTTCCAAAATGGTTGTGCTATTTTACATTCCCACCAGAACTACATGAGAATGTCAGCCGCTGCACATCTTTGCCAATATTTTGTATGTTCAGTTTTTCTAGTCTTAGACATTCTAATATATACGCAGTGCTATTTCATTGTGACTTTAATTTACATTTCCTTAATGGCTAATGATATTGAGCATCTGTCTAATTGCTCATTTGCCTCCATGTATCTTCTTTAGTGAATAATTTTTCAAATATTGCCTCTATTATTTACTGAATTTTGGTTTCTTATTACTGAATTCTGAGTGGTTTTTGAAATATATATATTCTTGATACAAGTCCTTTATCAGATAAGTTATCTGCACACATTTCCCCCAGTTTGAGGCTTATCTCTTCATTCTCAAACAGTTTCAAAGAGTTTTTAGTTTTGATAAAATCGAATGAAACAATTTTTTTCCTCTATGACTCTTGTTTTTTAGTGTCATATCTAAGAAATCATTGCCTAATCCTAGGACACAAAGTTTTTCTTTTTTCCTATGTTTTCTTCTATAAGTTAACTTTTGTATACAGTGAACGGTATGGACAAAGAGGTTTTCTGTGGGGGTGGGAGGAGGGAGTGTGGAGGACAGCATATGGATATACAGTTGTTCCAGACTACCCTTTCTCTACTTAGTTGCCTGTGCATCTTTGTCAAAAGTCAACTGGCCAGGGCACCTGGGTGGCTCAGTCGTTAAGCGTCTGCCTTCCGCTCGGGTCATGGTCCCAGGATCCTGGGATCGAGCCCCGCATCAGGCTCCCTGCTCCGCGGGAAGCGTGCTTCTCTCTCTCCCACTCCCCCTGCTTGTGTTCCCTCTCTCGCTGTGTCTCTCTCTGTCAAATAAATAAATAAAATCTTTAAAAAAAAAAAAAAAGTCAACTGGCCATATTTGCTTGCATTTATCTCTGAATTCTTATCTTGTTCCATTAATCTATTTGTCTATCCTGTCACTATTCTTATTTACTGTATAGTAAGTCTTGAAGTTCAGATAATGTAAGTCTTCTAATTTTGTTCTTTTTCAAAGTTGTTTTAGTTATTCTAGGCCTTTTGCACTTCCATATGAATTTTAGAAAAAACTTGTCAATTTCTACAAAATGAAAAGCAAAGAGAAAAGAAAAGCCTGTTGAAACTTTGACTGGGATTGAGTTAAATCTATACATTAAATTGGAGAGGAATGGACATCTTAACTCTATTGAGTGTTTCAGTTCATAAATATTAAATTATCTCTCCATTTATTAGGTCATCTTTAAGTTTTGTAGCTTTCTGCGAACAAGTTTTGCACATATTTTGTCACATTTTCCCTACATATTTCATATGCTTTGATCAAATTGTATTTTTTATCTTCAGTTTCTGATTATTCACTGTTCATATATAAAAACACAATTATTTTTGTGTATTAATCTTGCATTCTGCTTATTAGTCTTAATAGTTTCATGTAAATGCCATAGAGTTTTGGATACATTTTATCTCTTTTTTTCCTGTCACTTGAGGGTGTTCATTTTCTTCCTACTCCACTAAGAGGTTTTAGCAAAAATAAATGATGGATTTTGAAAAAACTTCTGCATTTGTTGAGATGATTATATAGTTTTTTCTTTAGTCCATTAATATGGTGAATTATATTGATTGATTTTTGAGTGTTAAAACAATCTTGCTTTTCTTTTCTTTTTTTAAATTAATTTTATTATGTTATGTTACTCACCGTACATTATATTATTACTTTTTGATATAGTGTTCCATGATTCATTGTTTGCGTAGAACACCAAGTGCTCCATTCAACATGCCCTCTTTAATACCCATCACCAGGCTAACCACTCCCCCCAACACCCTCCCCTCTAGAACCCTCAGATTGTTTCTCAGAGTCCATAGTCTCCCCCTCTGATTTTCCCCCCTTCATTTTTCCCTTCCTACTAATTTCTTTTTTTTTTTTTACACATAATGTATTATTTGTTTCAGAGGTACAGGTCTGTGATTCAACAGTCTTACAAAATTCACAATTCACAGCTCTCACCTTAGCACATACCCTCCCCAATGTCCATCACCCAGCCACCCCGTCCCTCCCACCCCTGCCACTCCAGCAACCCTCAGTTTGTTTCCTGAGATTAAGAATTCCTCATATCAGTGAGATCATATGATACATGTCCTTCTCTGATTGACTTATTTCGCTTAGCATAATCCCCTCCAGTTCCATCTACGTCATCACAAATGGCAAGATTTCGTTTTTTTGATGGCTGCATAATATTCCATCATGTATATATACCACATCTTCTTTATCCATTCATCTGTTGATGGACATGAGGGCTCTTTCCATAGTTTGGCTATTATGGATATTGCTGCTATAAACATTGGGGTGCATGTAGCCCTTCGGATCACTACATTTGTACCTTTGGGGTAAATATCCAGCAATACCCATTCCTGTGTGATAGGGTAGCTCTATTTTCACCTTTTTGAGAAACCTCCATACTGTTTTCCAGAGTGGCTGCACCAGCTTGCATTCCCACCAACAGTGTAGGAGGGTTCCCCTTTCTCCGCATCCTCGCCAACATCTGTCCTTTCCTGACTTGTTCATTTTAGCCATTCTGACTGGTGTGAGGTGGTATCTCATTGAGGTTTTGATTTGGATTTCCCTGATGCCGAGCAATGTTGAGCATCTTTTCATGTGTCTGTTGGCCATTTGGATGTCTTCTTTGGAAAAATGTCTGTTCGTGTCTTCTGCCCATTTCTTGATTGGATCATTTGTTCTTTGGGTGTTGAGTTTGATAAGTTCTTTATAGATTTTGGTTACTAGCTCTCTATCTGATAGGTCATTTGCAAATATCTTCTCCCATTCTGTTGGTTGTCTTTTGGTTTTGTGGACTGTTTCTTTTGCTGTGCAAAAGCTTTTTATCTTGATGAAGTCCCAATAGTTCATTTTTGCCCTTGCTTCTCTTGCCTTTGGGAATGTTTCTAGGAAGAAGTTGCTGCGGCTGAGGTCAAAGAGGTTGCTGCCTGTGTTCTTCTATAGGATTTTGATGGACTCCTGTCTCACATTGAGGTCTTTCATCCATTTTGAGTCTATTTTTGTGTGTGGTGTAAGGGAATGGTCCAGTTTCATTCTTCTGCATGTGGTTGTCCAATTTTCCCAACACCATTTATTGAAGAGACTATCTTTTTTCCATTGGACATTCATTCCTGCTTTGTAGAAGATTAGTTGACCATAAAGTTGAGGGTCCATTTCTGGGCTCTCTATCCTGTTCCATTGATCTATGTGTCTGTTTTTGTGCCAGTACCATACTGTCTTGATGATGACAGCTTTGTAATAGAGTTTGAAGTCCGGAATTGTGATGCCACCAGCTTTTCTTTTCTTTTTCTTTTTCTTTTTTTTTAA